TCACCGAGAAATGCTGTATTAGCATCATTTCAATGAGCAAAGATATTCACAGTAAAACAATGAAAAAAAACGATAGTCGAAAGAGGTAAAAGGGGAAGATAATCATTCACTGCAGTTCGTTTTTTGTTATGAAGAGATGAAGGTACATGTATATGAACATGGCCCATCGAACTGATGAGAGACGAACTCAAGATGATTCAGTTATTTACCAAATTCAACTGTTGACTATCATTAACAAGTAAACAAGATGTTTGTTTGTTTTTAAACTGATCACGGCTTCCATAATAATCGATGAGACATGCGATACAGAATGTTATTAAACTTTAAAAAAACAAGTTCTTCTCATACTTTTCACGATCCATGTTAAAAAATGTTTTTACTCTTCAAAGTCAAATGTTCAACTGACTTGAGGTCAACTCTGAGTTATGTCTTTAGCAGTTCTTTGTCACATTTTGTATGTATTTTGCATATTGCAGTACTAATCTTTCTATTATTAACAAAATAAAATTCAAATGTTTCTAATGATGAAAATAACTGGTCCAAACCGTTTGCAAACAAAACTTCAAACACTTCCGTATCCGATGTTATACATCATCATTAAACTCTGCCGTTTCTTTGAGCAAAAAACCCACCTCAAAATTTTCTCAACCCGCTGGTCACGCTGAATGAAGAAAGCTTGTCAACCGTTAAAATTTATGAAAAAAATCGACTAATAACTCGAAGTTGTACTGTATCAATACTAAAATTATCAACATTTTATTCATCTCATTTTGTGATTTCTAAATATTGTGCAAATAATGCGAAAAGTCGTCATTTTGTTTGTCCTCCAACAAACGCGTTTACATTTTCATCGATTTGCTCCATTTTCATTCCCTTGATAATCGCCTTAAACATTTACCCGTGACTTGACTCCATTTAAAACCTGACAGCGTATCCAATCTTTGCTTCCAATAAATGAATCTGTTGATATTGTTATTAACCTCACCAATTGTTCAACAGAAATGTAATAAAAAAGGTAAAATTATTTCGTCCATTGAGACCATTTATGCTCACCTTTAGTCCTATTCATCGTCAAGATGGTTACTTGTTTACAATCATTTTCATCATCATCATCTTATTTTGTCTGATATCTCAATTGAACCGGCGATTCACTTCTTTTGACAATTAACTTCACATTTCCTTTAATCTTTCAGTCAATCAAGACATTCATTTTATCTTTATATTGCTCGCATGAAACAAATACAATTCATTAGCTTTTACTATTACTAGATTGGATAAAGTGAATAAAGTTAGAAACTGGATTACCTTTTTATTGATCAGATCAATTCAACCAGTCGATTTCCTTTTAATCTTTCCTCAATTTTAAGTATCTTTACAGTGATAATCATTGTTTCTGATCAATTAATCAATTATAGCGAGTGACGATCACATCCTACTGAGAACTTAATGTGTGGCATGAAAAGCATGTCAACATAACTGGACAGACACAGTGAGAATAAAATTGTTTTTTTGTGCTTTTCTCTTGTTTTTGTATCACAAAAGGTCGACTTTTTAAGTCTTTAGATCAGATTAAACTGACAGCTTCAACTTTGCGCTTGTTTTTAACTTGACCAAAGAATAAATAAACTAATTTGTTTTCATTTTGAGTACATCTTCGGTTCTTGTTCATGTTGTTGTTTTTTTTTGTTGTTGTTTTGTTGAACAAAATGAAGCAATCAAAACGATTCTGATAACAGTAGATAACATCAACAGAACTCAAAGTAATGAAATGAACAGAAGTAATGATAATGACCAAGAAGATGATTTTGTTAACTTGATATTCATCCAACAACAACAAGTTAAATGTCACTTTTTACTGAATGACTGTTCAATGCACAAACAAGATTTTCAGACTGATTAAACCTCTAACTTGGTTAAACTATACCAGTTAGTAGTAGCAACTGTTTAACTGCAAATCATGTTTGACATTTTGTCAGATTATCTTGAACCTAGAAGAGTCCGAAAACTCTCTCTATTCAGGAACATCTTCTTTTCTCTTCCTACTCTATTTACATGTTTACTTTTAAAGGTACAAAACGTTATTTCGCCCATTTTTAGTTCATTATCATCTTGGTTCATTTCCTCAGGAAAAATGTTGTCTATTAAAGAGCATCTTTCACTTTATCAGATTATCAATCAGTGTCTCAGTAGGGTGAAGATATGGTTACTTGACAAACGGACAATATTGACTTGATAACATTTGGTTGACACAGAGTTTGTCCAATTTGTGGCTTGATTGATTTATTATTACTGTTAGCATCAATTTAATCAGACAACAGTTAAGCACGAGATGGATTCCTCTTGAAGTTGGTAAAGTATTCAGTAAAATTATAATATCCAAAAGAGAAAAATAAAAGATGAATGTTTCTTTTCGATTAGCAAATACAATTTTCAATGGTTACATCTTTTTCACAACATCTAACAAGGGAAGGTGCCTAAGTGGTACGGTGGTACGGTAGTGGTAAGTTATAGAACTGAATTGTAGAAGAAAAAGTGAAACAGAAAGCTTCATAGAAAGTTGATCGTGTATATGAATCATTTGGCCAATTTATGCATCAATTTGTGGCCAAATTGAAAGCACTGAAAAATGTTGCTTTTTGAGGCTTGTTTCAATACTTGATAGCGAGTTGAATAGTTTTTGATTTGTTGAGTTGAAAAGTGTTAAATGAGTATCACAAAGTGTCATCATTAAAAGCATAACAAATAAAGTCTCCAAAAATGTTGCAGCAAACATTTACTATCTTATGCTCATTAAGGATCCATCAAATCATATTAACAGTACGTGTCACTTTAACGCACTAACAATTAGTTTTAACACTTGACTTGACTTCACTAAAACATCACGAATCAAAGTTTATATAATAGATATTGCTGTAGATTTGATAATGATGAAGTAAGTGATGATGTGATTGAGCTTTTGAATAAAAATCTGTACGTTTACTTTTATTAAGTCTTGAATTTAATGAACGATGTTCAATAAAGTAGAGATTATCATTTGAATATCTTGTGCATATTTACTACTATTACTGATACTATGACCTACTAACTTGCTTTGCTTAGACTTGAAAAATGAGGCGAGGGAAGATAATGGTGGATTTAGTGTTAGCGAAAGGAAGCCTTTAATAAATTGGACTATTCAAACTATTTGTATATTTGTATACCAGGAAACCATGAGACCGTGAAATTTGACCGCTTCCGACGAAATCAAAAATAAAAGTCCAAAGTTCAACTGAAAATGATATAAGCATTATATGATATCATGAAATAATTTATGATGGATAGACAATAGGCTTTCAATGTCTACTTATTTAGATTGTATTAATACTTTATCTTAACTTAACCTCATAGTCTTATTAAGATCCAAAAAATAACGGAGATTTTGATGATCATGATAGCAGATTGAATCAAGATAATTTAATTTGTGTGCTATCAATTATGCTGTGAATTCGATAATGATGAATTATTATAACATAAATAAATAATGATGCGCATTTTATTTGGAATGAAAACAAAATTGATTAAGTTTCTCTTTGAAACATTCCTCCTTTGACATTTTCCGGATGAAGTTTTGATTGGCCTACCATCCAAGAGCCTCCTTTATCAGAATTATTGTAAATTTCATGAAACTTTTATCAAATGATAAATATGAATATTTTTACAGTTATTGTAGCTCTCAACTGAAGACTATAACAGCTAATTTCAATATTTGTATTGACTTTATTACTCATTGCTGAATAAACTTAACTAAATAAATAAAAAACAAGTTAGTCATGAGTCAAGAAACAAAACACGTCAATTAAAATATCTTCAAAAGCAATTGTCATGACTGGCAATTAAATTGAAGTGTAAAAACGATTTTTTAATAATAAATACAGATTCAATGAATAATCTAGGGATTCAAAAGCATTAATCGTTATTAGTTATTACTATTTCTAGTTACAAAGATTGACCGTTCTATGACTACGCTAAGACAATTAATCTGGCGATTCCGTTTGCGCATTGAATGGTAGTGTTTAGATGAGAAAAAGTGTTCAAAAAAACACACGACAACAATATTGTAAAATTCACTAGATAATGTTGTTGATGAGACAATTGGGCAAATATTGCTATGACATTTAAAGACTGTTATATTTAATGTTTATAATTGCTAATTGCTGACTATTGTTTATTTTTGTGAGCCAAATTCCACAGCAAATACAGATGATTTCACAAATAAATTATCTGTATTCGATTTCAAACTGTTAAAGCGTTTAACCAGATGCCGTTAATAATGTTAATGTTCGAGTAACTACTAACTTCTACCTGCATTTAGCATGAAGCCGTGTATCCAAGAACAAATAAAGTAACTCAAACAAAGAGTCTGCTATTTGAATGCATTTCCGTTTCCAAATGAAAACAAGTTTAATCAGACGCCATAAAAGTTACTATAAAACACAGCACTTTGATAATTGAAAATCATATCATCTCAACTTGAGATAAGCAAAGTTAAAAAACAAAAACTTCAAAATGGTTTTTAAAATGTATTTAAATTTACTAATCCTTGCTATTACAGCAACTAATTATGTTTCCACCCGATCTATGGGCTCAATGCCAGGCATGGAACTCGACGTGAACATGCCGATGGACATGATGTCAAATGTATTGGGTGGTAGCGCATTTGCTGGTTCAAACGCAGATACAGAGAATGAAGGTAGTGAAGCAGCTTCCAATGCCGAATCCACAGCAGGTGCCAATGCAGAGGCAACGACTTATGAAGAACCCGATGGAGAGGATGATGGGTTAACTTATGGAAATGATGAATCAGATGCTGACGCAAAAGCAACAGCAGAATCAGCAGCTAAAGCCGGCTCTGACAATGGTAGCGGTAACAACGGAGGAAACGGTTATGGCAACAATGGAGGATCAAGCTCAGCAACATCATCGTCCTCAGCATCAGGTTCATCAACTTCAGAGGGATCTGACAACGGTAGCGGTAACAACGGAGGAAACGGTTATAACAACAATGGTAACAATGGAGGATCAAGCTCAGCAACATCATCATCATCAGCATCAGGTTCATCAACTTCAGAGGGATCTGACAACGGTAGCGGTAACAACGGAGGAAACGGTTATAACAACAATGGTAACAATGGAGGATCAAGCTCAGCAACATCATCATCATCAGCATCAGGTTCATCAACTTCAGAGGGATCTGACAACGGTAGCGGTAACAACGCAGGAAACGGTTATAACAACAATGGTAACAATGGAGGATCAAGCTCAGCAACATCATCATCATCAGCATCAGGTTCATCAACTTCAGAGGGATCTGACAACGGTAGCGGTAACAACGGAGGAAACGGTTATGGCAACAATGGAGGATCAAGCTCAGCAACATCATCATCATCAGCATCAGGTTCATCAACTTCAGAGGGATCTGACAACGGTAGCGGTAACAACGGAGGAAACGGTTATAACAACAATGGTAACAATGGAGGATCAAGCTCAGCAACATCATCATCATCAGCATCAGGTTCATCAACTTCAGAGGGATCTGACAACGGTTATAACAACAATGGTAACAATGGAGGATCAAGCTCAGCAACATCATCATCATCAGCATCAAGTTCATCAACTTCAGAGGGATCTGACAACGGTAGCGGTAACAACGGAGGAAACGGTTATAACAACAATGTTAACAATGGAGGATCAAGCTCAGCAACATCATCATCATCAGCATCAGGTTCATCAAATCAAAGGGATCTGACAATGGTAGCGGTAACAACGGAGGAAACAGTTATAACAACAATGGTAACAATGGAGGATCAAGCTCAGCAACATCATCGTCCTCAGCATCAGGTTCATCAACTTCAGAGGGATCTGACAACGGTAGCGGTAACAACGGAGGAAACGGTTATAACAACAATGGTAACAAGGGAGGATCAAGCTCAGCAACATCATCATCATCAGCATTCAGGTCATCA